ACGCACCAAGCCTACGGTGTGCGTCGACAGCCCAGCCCGGCCTGTCCCTGCTCCACGCACCAAGCCTACGGTGTGCGTCGACAGCCCAGCCCGGCCTGTTCCTGCCACCCGCACCAAGCCTACGGTGTGCGTCGACAGCCCGGCCCGGCCTGTTCCTGCTCCACGCACCAAGCCTACGGTGTGCGTTGACAGCCCAGCCCGGCCTGTCCCTGCTCCACGCACTAAACCTACGGTGCGCGTCGCCAGCCCGGTCCGGCCTGTTCCTGCCACCCGCACCAAGTCTACGGTGCGCGTCGCCAGCCCGACCCGGCCTGTTCCTGCCACCCGCACCAAGTCTACGGTGTGCGTCGACAGCCCAGCCCGGCCTGTCCCTGCTCCACGCACCAAGCCTACGGTGTGCGTCGACAGCCCAGCCCGGCCTGTTCCTGCCACCCGCACCAAGCCTACGGTGCGCGTCGCCAGCCCGACTCGGCCTGTTCCTGCCACCCGCACCAAGTCTACGGTGTGCGTCGACAGCCCAGCCCGGCCTGTCCCTGCTCCACGCACCAAGCCTACGGTGTGCGTCGACAGCCCAGCCCGGCCTGTCCCTGCTCCACGCACTAAACCTACGGTGCGCGTCGCCAGCCCGGTCCGGCCTGTTCCTGCCACCCGCACCAAGTCTACGGTGCGCGTCGCCAGCCCGGCCCGGCCTGTTCCTGCCACCCGCACCAAGTCTACGGTGCGCGTCGCCAGCCCGACCCGGCCTGTTCCTGCCACTCGCACCAAACCTACGGTGCGCGTCGCCAGCCCGGTCCGGCCTGTTCCTGCCACTCGCACTAAGCCAGGGGTGCGAGAAGTCAGCCTGGTAAGGCCCGTTCCTCCTCCACGCACCAAGCCAGGGGTGCGAGTCGACAGACTGGACCAGGGGCACTATGGGGGGTGTATTGGAGGGTGGTGGTCAAGGCCGGAGCCAGAACCGCCGCCGAGGAGGTATGCCCGCCCAGCCCTCCCCTGGTTTGTTTATTTGAGGCGCGGTCGCAATCCGCGCCTTTAAGGGGGGGTACTGTCACACCCTGGCTCTTGGACTCATTATGTTGAGCCAGGGTGTGTTTATTTTCTATGTGTGTATTTCTATGTTGGTGTATTTCTATGTTTGACTGAGTGACTCCCAATCAGAGGCAACGAGTGTTAGCTGTTTGCTGGTTGTCTCTGATTGGGAGCCATATTTAACTGTCTGTGTTTCACTTTGGGTTTGTGGGTTTTTGTTCCGTGTTCGGTCATTGTCACCGTGGACTTCACGAGTCATGTTTTGTTTTGTTTAGAAACTTTAACTAATTAAAGTCATGTTTGTTTCTCACGCTGCGCCTTGGTCTACTCATTACTACGACGATCGTGACACAATCTCTGTTGGATATTCAATTTCTGCTTCAACATTTATTAAATTACTATTATTTTAAGATTTATATGTAATGCTTTGGAGGGATCAATATGTATTAACTCAATCAATATATATTCCCCTGTAGATGGCATGCTCTGTCCATAATAAGTCTCTACCTAGCACGCTAAACGGTTGAGTAGGTGAATACAGAAAATCATTGGTTCTATTTTACAGGGTATGGGCTTATTTCAAAATGTATTATCAGGGTGGAGGAAATCTCATAAGCGTGTATAGTTTTATTGGTTAGGGGCAAATCAAGTCCCGAACAATGCTTTAACCTAATTTTCATCAAATGATCCATAAAGGGACCACTCTGAACAGAATACCTTTTACACCACTTATGTACATCTACGTATGGGTAGATGTTACTTCATCAGATCCCTAGTAACCCATTATATAAATATTATGTTACTTTATCTCTAGTAACCCATTATACATTTCTGCTACATCACAAATTCCTTCTCTACACCAGTGTTCTATTCATACAGGGGTTTACATTTTCACTAGTGTTCTATTTAACAGCATATTTGGAAATAGTACTTTCTCTTTTCATATCTCCATACAGAATCCCTTTATGACATTATAAAGCTTTAGATTTTCACCTCCACACCGCAGCAACAATCACAGCGCAGCAGCCCGAGAGGTAAACATATCTTTCAATGGCTTCTCCTGTCAGTGCTCACTACCTGTAGATCGATGGGCGGTGGTGGACAGAACCCCTAGATAACGTTATAGATCTAAAAACTCAGCTCACACAGAACTGGTTGGGGTATCCATTCTTTCATGCACTCAGTAATCCTCTTTCACACCGGAGCTAGTCCCCTGACAGCTCTCATTCACTCAGTAATTTATAGCTACATTTCTCAATCAATCTTAAAAGTAATACTTTCAATCCATTTATTCTCCAAATTTCAATCAGCCAAATTTACATTTACATTTTACATTTTAGTCATTTAGCAGACGCTCTTATCCAGAGCGACTTACAGTTAGTGAGTGCATACAAACTTCAATCTTAATAGTAATAATTTCCAAATTCCAATCAATCTTATTATCTTAATATCCAAATTTCAATCAATCAGCTCGTTATCCAATTTTCATTCAGCTTAATATGTCATATCTCACAATCACACAGCTTTCACATCCACATTCAATTAGTACTATTCCCAAACACACTCGGTAATCTCCCTCATTACCCCATGTGCATCGTCAACGATTCTCTTGTCGTTACTTGCTATGCACCATATGTATCTTCACTATACATATAAAATAGCACAGAGTGCACCTTATGCTGTTCTCTACCAGTGGCTGCAGACCACGTAGACGTCTCTAATAAATGCCTACAGACAGCTGTCAGCGGGGCATGATACCGTTACTTGCCCTAGCTCTAGCCTTCTTCCACGTCATTTGTATCTTCAACGGTTCCTCTATAGTCTCTACAGTATCCATGGTCCCTGAGCATCTGTAGTCCCTGAGCATCCATAGTCCCTATAGTTACAGCATCTATGGTCCCTACAGCATCTATAGTCCCTCAGCATCTACAGTCCTCAGCATCCATAGTATCAATAATTTATATAGTCATAAATGCTATGGTCTCTATAGGCTCTGTAGTCTTGTCGCTTCCCATATATGTAAATAACACCCTGTATTCAAAAACACCTCATATTATTTTGTAGGCTAGTGGTACCCTCCTTCTACATCTTTATGTTTCTTTTCATTGGTTTTATAATTTTTATTACATTTTTATACAAATTCATTTAAATTGACTTACTGAAATCAGTTGCCGTCCCTCAATTGTTCGCAGATTATGTGTCTCCTCCTGGGAAGCTCAAAGTAACGGTCTGGTCTGGGCGGGTCCTCGTCCTCTTTTGGTCAGACAGGAATTTCCCTCACGCTTCATAAAATGTGCCACCGGTTTTCCTTGCAGAACCCAATTGGAAAGCTTCGCTGGCAGAATCAATCATCCGGTTCATGACGCCATATTGTCGTAGAAATTCTTACACAGGGACACTCGAAGATAATCTTAAATTAATCATCCTTTATTGTCAGCGCGCTGGAGAAGTTCCAACCAACTCAATGCACCATAGTGAGGCCGTCCCAGCAGTTGTCTTATATACGGCTATACACAGACAAGTTATATTTGCATGATTTAGCATAATAAATACATCATTACCATTTTGTTTCATTCATGTGACCGACCAATACTTCACAAGGCTTCTTCTCTCTAAGCTGAGACCTTGAAACTGAGATATCTTTCGTTCTCAAAACAAGGTCTGGGCATACTGCCTAATTGCAGCTACTGATAGTGAGGATTTGTTCAGTCAGTCACTTGCATGAACACAGAGCATGAACACAGAAATTGGTTTATAGAAAATCACATGAATGGAACATAGAAATGTATAGAATAGAAAAGCACCAACTTTAACATTTCCATCACAAGGACCTGATGTGATTGGTCAAAAGACCAATAAGTGGAAAAATATATATATTTGGGCTGCCTGTGTAAATGCAGCCTAACTTCCTTCATACTGGACGCAGAGACATACAAAAGGTATCCACCAGTGTATCTGACTCTGAGGAAGTAGATAAAGGGCTTCATTGCCAAAATCCTGAAGTATGTAATAATTGTTAGCTAAGATACAGTAACATTACACTAGCTAAATCGTTTACAAATGGTAACAATATGGTATAATCAATTCACTTGCCAAACATAAAATAGTGTTACAGCAAGTGTTTGTAATTTGTTCTGTATTTTATTTGAGTACTGCATGGGAAAGTTGTGTGGGACAGTGGGCGCATACTGTGGCATCCAGTGCCTTACATTGAGAACTACAAGTACAGCACAAAGATGTGCATTGGTTGTAGAACCAGAAAAGGTTTTAACATTTCAGTCATTTACATTTGTGTGTAGGCTATATATGATGTAGGGAGAAATTGCCCCCATATGCTGCTCTAAGGTCATTTTTGTGTGACATTAAGATTAGGAGAGGGTAAGCTGATATTAATAAATAAAGTGACAATGCCAGTGTGGTTGAAACTGTAAATTACCCTAATTTTATTTCACATATTATTTTCATGACAGGCGTTCTGTCTTTCAACACAGCAATTCTATTGACAAAGGAAAGTAGGCAAAGGGGAAACAGGGACTTCAAGCATCAGGCCAATTTCTGCAATCATAGCAACACCAGGAGTGAGAGTGGAAGTAACCAAGAAACAACAACAAGAACGAGGGATGACTGCAGAGCCAGGAAAGGAAAGAGGAGAGGGGGATGTAGGAGGGAGAGTGCAGGTCTGTGTCATCATGGGTGAATGAGAGCAAACAACTGCAATACAATGTTTATTCTTTTTTTCTCAGTCAGCATGTAGTTAGTCTGTCCATGTCAGCCATCAGTCGGAGTGTCGCTTCTTTTGTATACAGCGTTGTATATTTAATTTTCTCTTTTTTTCTTTGACACTCATCTCTGTCTTTCTTAGGTGTGCTTCAGGCTTCATATCTACACTTTTGTGTCTCTATGTGCACGTTTGTGTCTGTCGGTCGGTTGGTCGGTCTCTTTATTTCTTTATCTGTCCATCTGTCTTTGTGTCTCAAAATCAGAGTAACTGTGCATCTCATGTAGCTTAGTGGCTCTGTGCATATATTTTACGGTGATGTGTGTCTCACAGGGCAGTGGGGTTTCTGAAGTTATAGCCTGCAAAGCGAGCTTGATCCCCCAACTCCTCCTCGATCCTAAAGAGACCAACAGAATGGACAAAGAGGGAAAGAGAAAACAGGTAAATGCATCTGAACTGAATTTGCATCTGACATCTATTTCCTCAAAGTAAAAGCCCAGGAAATCTGATCCTAGATCTGTGGTTAGGTTAGGGGGCGACTTCTACCTGCAGCTATTAACTCAGTGATCAGGGAGTTATAGTAGCCATTAATGGTTAACGCTTCTGTGGATGGGCAATCAGATCCTAGATCTGTGTTTATTTTTTATTTTATTTAACCTTTATTTAACCAGCTAAGCCAGTTGAGAACAAGTTCTCATTTACAACTGCGACCTGGCCAAGATAAAGCAAAGCAGTGCGATAAAAACAACAACACAGAGTTATATATGGGGTAAAACAAAACATTAAGTCAAAAATACCACAGAAAATATATATACAGTGTGTGCAAATGTAGCAAGTTATGGAGGTAAGGCAATAAATAGGCCATAGTGCAGAATAATTACAATTAGTATTAACACTGGAATGATAGATGTGCAAGAGATGATGTGCAAATAGAGATACTGGGGTGCAAATGAGAAAAATAAATAACAATATGGGGATGAGGTAGTTGAGTGGGCTAATTTCAGAAGGGCTGTGTACAGGTGCAGTGATCGGTAAGGTGTTCTGACAACTGATGCTTAAAGTTAGTGAGGGAGATAAGAGTCTCCAGCTTCAGAGATTTTTGCAGTTCGTTCCAGTCATTGGCAGCAGAAAACTGGAAGGAATGGCGGCCAAAGGAGGTGTTGGCTTTGGGGATGACCAGTGAGATATACCTGCTGGAGCGCATACTATGGGTGGGTGTTGCTATGGTGACCAATGATAAGGCAGAGATTTGCCTAGCAGTGATTTATAGATGGCCTGGAGCCAGTGGGTTTGGCGACAAATATGTAGTGAGGACCAGCCAACAAGAGCGTACAGGTCACAGTGGTGGGTAGCATATGAGGCTTTGGTGACAAAACGGATGGCACTGTGATAGACTACATCCAATTTGCTGAGTAGAGTGTTGGAGGCTATTTTGTAAATGACATCGCCGAAGTCAAGGATCGGTAGGATAGTTAGTTTTACGAGGGCATGTTTGGCAGCATGAGTGAAGGAGGCTTTGTTGCGAAATAGGAAGCCGATTCTAGATTGAACTTTGGATTGGAGATGCTTAATGTGAGTCTGGAAGGAGAGTTTACAGTCTAACCAGACACCTAGCTATTTGTAGTTGTCCACATACTCTAGGTCAGACCTGTCGAGAGTAGTGATTCTAGTCGGGTGGGCAGGTGCCAGCAGCGTTCGATTGAAGAGCATGCATTTAGTTTTACTAGTGTTTAAGAGCAGTTGGAGGCTACGGAAGGAGTGTTGTATGGCATTGAAGCTCGTTTGGAGGTTTGTTAACACAGTGTCCAATGAAGGGCCAGATGTGTACAAAATGGTGTCGTCTGCATAGAGGTGGATCTGAGAGTCACCAGCAGCAAGAGCGACATCATTGATATACACAGAGAAAAGAGTCGGCTCAAGAATTGAACCCTGTGGCACCCCCATAGAGACTGCCATAGGTCCAGACAACAGGCCCTCCGATTTAACACATTGAACTCTATCTGAGAAGTAGTTGGTGAACCAGGCGAGGCAGTCATTTGAGAAACCAAGGCTATTTAGTCTGCCAATAAGAATGTGGTGGTTGACAGAGTCGAAAGCCTTGGCCAGGTCGATGAAGACGGTTGCACAGTCCTGTCTATTATCGATCGCGGTTATAATATTGTTTAGGACCTTGAGCGTGGCTGAGGTGCATCCCTGACCAGCTCGGAAACTGGATTGCATAGCGGAGAAGGTACGGTGGGATTCGAAATGGTCGGTGATCCGTTTGTTAACTTGGCTTTCAAAAACTTTCGAAAGGCAGGGCAGGATGGATATAGGTCTGTAACAGTTTGGATCTAGAGTGTCACCCCCTTTGAAGAGGGGGATGACCGCGGCAGCTTTCCAATCTCTGGGGATCTCAGATGTTACGAAAGAGAGGTTGAACAGGCTAGTAATAGGGGTTGCGACAATTTCAGCGGCTATTTTTAGAAAGAAAGGGTCCAGATTGTCTAGCCCAGATGATTTGTAGGGGTCCAGATTTTGCAGCTCTTTTAGAATATCAGCTGTCTGAATTTGTGTGAAGGAGAAGTGGGGGGGGGGCATGGGCAAGTTGCAGCAGAGGGTGCAGAGCTGGTGGCCAGGGTAGTGTAGCCAGGTGGAAAGCATGGCCAACTGTAGCAAAATGCTTGTGGAAATTCTCGATTATTGTACATTTATCGGTGGTGATAGTGTTTCCTAGCCTCAGTGCAGTGGGCAGCTGGGAGGAGGTGCTCTTATTCTCCATGGACTTTACAGTGTCCCAAAACTTTTTGGAGTTAGTGCTACAGGATGCAAATTTATGTTTGAAAAAGCTAGCCTTTGCTTTCCTAACTGCTTGTGTATATTGGTTCCTAACTTCCCTGAAAAGTTGCATATCGCGGGGGCTATTCGATGCTAATGCAGTACGCCACAGGATGTTTTTGTGCTGGTCAAGGGCAGTCAAGTCTGAGGAGAACCAGGGACTATATCTGTTCTTAGTTCTGAATTTTTGGAATGGGGCATGCTTATTTAAGATTGAGAGGAAAGCACTTTTAAAGAACAACCAGGCATCCTCTACTGACGGAATGAGATCGATATCCATCCAGGATACCTGGGCCAGGTCAATTAGGAAGGCCTGCTCGCTAAAGTGTTTTAGGGAGCTTTTTTGATGAGGGGTGGTCGTTTGACCGCGGACCCGTTACGGACGCAGGCAATAAGGCAGTGATCGCTGAGATCCTGGTTGAAGACAGCGGAGGTGTATTTAGAGGGTAAGTTAGTTAGGATAATATCTATGAGGGTGCCCATGTTTACGGATTTAGGATTGTACCTGGTAGGTTCCTTGATCATTTGTGTGAGGTTGAGGGCATCTAGTTTGGATTGTAGGATGGCTGGGGTGTTAAGCATTTCCCAGTTTAGGTCACCAAGCAGTACGAACTCTGAGGATAGATGGGAGGCAATCAATTCACATATGGTGTCCAGGGCACAGCTGGGGGCTGAGGGGGTTCGGTAGCAAGCGGCAACAGTGAGAGGCTTATTTCTGGAAAGGTGGATTTTTGTTTGTTTGGGCACAGACCTGGATAGTATGATAGAGCTCTGCAGTAGATTGCAACTCCACCCCCTTTGGCAGTTCTATCTAGATGGAAAATGTTGTAGTTGGGGATGGACATTTCTGAATTTTTGGTGGCCTTCCTAAGCCAGGATTCAGACACTGCTAGAACATCAGGGTTGGCGGAGTGTGCTAACGCAGTGAATAACTCAAACTTTAGGAAGGAGGCTTCTGATGTTAACGTGCAAAAAACCAAGGCTTTTACGGTTACAGAAGTCAACAAATGATAGCTCCTGGGGAGTGATACTGGGGGCTGCAGGGCCTGGGTTAGCCTCTACATCACCAGAGGAACAGAGGAGGACTAGAATAAGGATATGGCTAAAGGCTTTAAGAACTGGTCTTCTAGTGTGTTGGGTACAGAGAATAAAGGGGGCAGATTTCCGGGCGTTGTAGAATAGATTCAGGGCATTATGTACAGACAAGGATATTACATTTACATTTTAGTCATTTAGCAGACGCTCTTATCCAGAGCGACTTACAGTTAGTGAGTGCATACATATATATTTTTTTTTCATACCCCCCGTGGGAATCAAACCCACAACCCTGGCGTTGCAAACGCCATGCTCTACCAACTGAGCTACATCCCTGCCAGCCATTCCCTCCCCTACCCTGGACGACGCTGGGCAAATTGTGCGCCGCCCCATGGGTCTCCCGGTCGCGGCCGGCTACGACAGAGCCTGGATTCGAACCAGAATCTCTAGTGGCACAGCTAGCACTGCAATGCAGTGCCTTAGACCACTGCGCCACTCGGGAGCACAATGGAAGGATATGAGTACAGTGGAGGTAAACCTAAGCGTTGGGTAACAATGAAAGAGATAGCATCACTGGAGGCACCGATTGAGCCGGTCTCGGCGTGTATGGGGGGTGGAACAAAGGAGCTATTTGAGGCAGTTTGAGAATGACTTGGGGTTCTATATTGAAATTGTATAATAAGAACTAACTGTGTTAAGACTAACGGTCATAAGAAACGGTGGCAGAAACATTATGTACAAAATAAGTTACAAATAACACGAAAAGACACACACAATAGCACAATTGGTTAGCAGCCTGTAAAATGGCAGCCATCTCCTTCTGCGCCATTATCGTATGTGCCGTATCGGGAGGAAGTGGTACTCGCTAAGCAAGCAGTGTGACGTCCTTTACACTTACATGCAATAATACACATACAAGTATATACATACAAGTATATTATTATTCCTTTGCGATGCAGTATTTATTATGGAAAAATAATGATTTATGGTTTTGAGGTGCAGTATGCTTTCAAATTTTTTTCAAGAAGCAATATAAGCCACTGAGTAGAATTTGGCGGGATAGCTAAAGAGGATAATGTTTGACCACTGACCTCATGAGCTGGTTGTACTTGGCCAGCCTCTCAGATCTACATGGTGCTCCTGTCTTAATCTGAGAGAGAGAGAGAGAGAGAGAGAGAGAGAGAGAGAGAGAGAGAGAGAGAGAGAGAGAATTAGAACAGATTTAGTGAAAGCGATACAATGTTGTGGTCAGATTTGTATAATGGTCGAGGTCTTCTGTATCTGTATGGAACGCTCCGCATGTCTCTGTGAGTGAGTGAGTGAGTGAGTGAGTGAGTGAGTGAGTGAGTGAGTGAGTGAGTGAGTGTGTACCTGTCCAGTGCAGAGCCCCACCACCAGGTCAGCGATGAAAGTGTCCTCTGTCTCTCCTGAACGGTGACTGACCATCACTCCCCAGCCATTGGCCTGGGCTAGCTTACACCTGAGAGAGAGAGAGAGAGAGAGAGAGAGAGAGAGAGAGAGAGAGAGAGAGAGAGAGAGAGAGAGAGAGAGAGAGAGAGAGAGAGAGAGAGAGAGAGAGAGAGAGAGAGAGAGAGAGAGAGAGAGAGAGAGAGAGAGAGAGAGAGAGAGAGAGAGAGAGAGAGAGAGTAGAATAAGCATGAGGGTACTAAAAGGAGAATAAAGTAAATGTATGATTGATGGCTATATTAATACATTTTAATTGAACAACTTTGAATGACTGTTGGCAGTACTTACGGTCAAGATTGATGACAACAGTTATAGATGATGGATAGCTGTAAAATGTCAATGATTGACGGCAATGAGTGTTGCAACATTTGACAGGTACAGTGGGGGAAAAAAGTATTTAGTCAGCCACCAATTGTGCAAGTTCTCCCACTTAAAAAGATGAGAGAGGCCTGTAATTTTCATCATAGGTACACGTCAACTATGACAGACAAAATGAGGGAAAAAAATCCAGAAAATCACATTGTAGGATTTTTTATGAATTTATTTGCAAATTATGGTGGAAAATAAGTATTTGGTCACCTACAAACAAGCAAGATTTCTGGCTCTCACAGACCTGTAGCTTCTTCTTTAAGAGGCTCCTCTGTCCTCCACTCGTTACCTGTATTAATGGCACCTGTTTGAACTTGTTATCAGTATAAAAGACACCTGTCCACAACCTCAAACAGTCACACTCCAAACTCCACTATGGCCAAGACCAAAGAGCTGTCAAAAGATACCAGAAACAAAATTGTAGACCTGCACCAGGCTGGGAAGACTGAATCTGCAATAGGTAAGCAGCTTGGTTTGAAGAAATCAACTGTGGGAGCAATTATTAGGAAATGGAAGACATACAAGACCACTGATAATCTCCCTCGATCTGGGGCTCCACGCAAGATCTCACCCCGTGGGGTCAAAATTATCACAAGAACGGTGAGCAAAAATCCCAGAACCAGAACCTAGTGAATGACCTGCAGAGAGCTGGGACCAAAGTAACAAAGCCTACCATCAGTAACACACTACGCCGCCAGGGACTCAAATTCTGAAGTGCCAGACGTGTCCCCCTGCTTAAGCCAGTACATGTCCAGGCCCGTCTGAAGTTTGCTAGAGTGCATTTGGATGATCCAGAAGAGGATTGGGAGAATGTCATATGGTCAGATGAAACCAAAATAGAACTTTTTGGTAAAAACTCAACTCGTCGTGTTTGGAGGACAAAGAATGCTGACTTGCATCCAAAGAACACCATACCTACTGTGAAGCATGGGGGTGGAAACATCATGCTTTGGGGCTGTTTTTCTGCAAAGGGACCAGGACGACTGATCCGTGTAAAGGAAAGAATGAATGGGGCCATGTATCGTGAGATTTTGAGTGAAAACCTCCTTCCATCAGCAAGGGCATTGAAGATGAAACGTGGCTGGGTCTTTCAGCATGACAATGATCCCAAACACACTGCCCGGGCAACAAAGGAGTGGCTTCGTAAGAAGCATTTCAAGGTCCTGGAGTGGCCTAGCCAGTCTCCAGATCTCAACCCCATAGAAAATCTTTGGAGGGAGTTGAAAGTCTGTGTTGCCCAGCGACAGCCCCAAAACATCACTGCTCTAGAGGAGATCTGCATGGAGGAATGGGCCAAAATACCAGCAACAGTGTGTGAAAACCTTGTGAAGACTTACAGAAAACGTTTGACCTGTGTCATTGCCAACAAAGGGTATATAACAAAGTATTGAGAAACTTTTGTTATTGACCAAATACTTATTTTCCACCATAATTTGCAAATAGATTCATTAAAAACCCTACAATGTGATTTTCTGGAAAAAAATTCTCAGTTTGTCTGTCATAGATGACATGTACCTATGATGAAAATTACAGGCCTCTCTCATCTTTTTAAGTGGGAGAACTTGCACAATTGGTGGCTGACTAAATACTTTTTTTCCCACTGTATATGCAGTGCACTCGGAAAGTATTCATACCCCTTCACTTTTTCCACATTTTTTTACGTTACAGCCTTATTCTAAAATGGATGAAATCGTTTTCCCCCCTCATCAATCTGCACACAATACCCCATAAAGCAAAAACAGTTGTCTTGGCTGTGTGCTTAGGGTCGTTGTCCTGTTGGAAGGTGAACCTTTGCCCCAGTCTGAGGTCCTGAGCGCTCTGGAGCAGGTTTTCATCAAGGATCTCTCTGTACTTTGCTCCGTTCATCTTTCCCTCGATCCTGACTAGCCTCCCAGTCCCTGCCGCTGAAAAACATCCCCACAGCATAATGCTGCCTCCACCATGCTTCACCGTAGGGATAGTGCCAGGTTTCTTCCAGACTTGACGCTTGGCATTCAGGCCAAATAGTTAAATCTTGGTTTCATCAAACCAGAGAATCTTGTTTCTCATGGTCTGAGAGTCCTTTAGGTACTTTTTGGCAAACTCCAAGCGGGCTGTCATGTGCTTTTTACTGAGGAGTGGCTTCCGTATGGCCACTCTATCATAAAGGCCTGATTGGTGGAGTGCTGCAGAGATGGTTGTCCTTCTGGAAGGTTCTCCCATCTCCACAGAGGAACTCTGGACCTCTGTCAGAGTGACCATCGGGTTCTTGGTCACCTCCCTGACCAAGGCCCTTCTCCCCCGATTGCTCAGTTTGGCCAGGCGGCCAGCTTTAGGAAGAGTCTTGGGTGGTTCCAAACTTCTTCTAATTAAAAATGATGGAGGCCTCTGTGTTCTTGGGGACCTTCATTGCTGCAGACATTTTTGGGTACCCTTCCCCAGATCTGTGCCTCGGCACAATCCTGTCTCGGAGCTCTACGGACAATTCCTTCGACCGTATGGCTTGGTTTTTGCTCTGACATGCACTTTCAACTGTGGGGCCTTATATAGACAGGTGTGTGCCTTTCCAAATCATGTCCAATCAAATGAATGTACCACAGGTGGACTCCAATCAAGTTGTAGAAACATCTCAAGGATGATCAATGGAAACAGGATGCATCTGAGCTCAATTTCGAGTCTCATACCAAAGGGTCTGAATACTTATGTAAATAAATTAGTTTCTTTTTTTAAAATATAAATTAGCAAAAATGTATAAAGACCTGTTTTGACTTTGTCATTATGGGGTATTGTGTGTAGATTGATGAGGAAGAAATGTATTTAATCAATTTAGAATAAGTCTAACGTAACAAAATTTGGAAAAGGTTAAGGAGTCTGAATACTTTACGAATGCACTGTAGATGGAAGTAAAGTGTTGGCTATATAAATATGGCTGATTGATGGTCATGTGAATGTAAAAAAAGCTCATTCTTTTCTTCATTAAATTATATTTTATTTAAGCAGGTAACTACCATTGAGATTGACATCTCTTTCTCAAGGACTTCCAACCTGGCCAAGAGACAGACCTGATGATTGACTGCTACATAAATGTGTATGACTGACGTCACACTTTACTTGAACCCTATGTACGTCATAAGGGCTACATAACCTTGTTATAGAGCATCATAGTGTTTCTCCAATATATTACCTGGTAATCTAATTTTCAAGGACAACCTAGCCTGGCCAAGTGACTGAGATTGACAGATTGGCTTGATGATTGACATCTATATATCTATATCAAAGTGATTGATTGACAGGTCATGTGACATGGGTCACTTACGCCTGGATGGCTTCAGTGACAGATCCGATCTGGTTGACTTTGAGCAGTAGGCAGTTGCAGGCCCGCTCCTCGGCAGCCCTCTCTATCCTCTTGGGATTGGTCACCGTCAGGTCGTCCCCGACAACCTGGATGCCCACGGAAGCAGTGAGACGGGACCAGGCGGCCCAGTCATCCTGGTCAAACGGGTCCTCGATGGACACCACTACAAAGGGGAGAAGGGTTTAGTGGAGTGCACACTCAGTTGGGACATGTACTCAGTCGTGGTTTGGAACTGAGGTTTTTCTATAGGGAGCAAAGCAGTAGACAGCCATAGTATTGTAAGAGGAAATGTGTCGTGGGATCTTTCAACATGAAGGTAGACATTACCTTGAACATCTATTTTCTCCAATTTCTATGGGATTGAATGTAACTGTAGGATCAGTCTGTTGCCTCTATAATTTAATTGAATGGATTTGAATTTAATCTAATTTATTTTTTAAGTCAGTGACTTTTTTTTGTGTTATCCCTGTCTAGTTTTTAAAAATGTATGCACTGTGTGTATATGTATTTTTTAAACTCTCAAATAAAATCAATCAATCAAATTCATGTTAGATTGAATTAGGAATCCAATAGGTGTCAGGTGACTGTTTGCCTACCTGGGTAGTCGTTAACAAAGCCTTGGTAGATGTCTGACAGCTCCTCTCCACTGATGTGCCTGTCAGCGTCCGGAGGAGACTTGAAGTCCAGGTCGTACTTCCCCTCGCGGTAGAACTCGGACGCTGCTACATCCATCCCGATCACCACCTTATCCGTGAAGCCTGCTTTCTCGATGGCTGTCTTTATCAGCTCCAACGCTGAGGGGAGAGACGGAAAGAGGGAGGGGAGGAGGGGAGGAAAGAAAGAAAGAAGATAAGTGTTGGGGGGAGATAGAGAGAGGAAGGGTGTAAGGGTAGACTCTACCTAGCCTGTGAACCACTCTGTTTCTGCTTTAGCCTACTTGTCTTGTTGCTTGTTTGGTGAGATGATGCTGCTGTGTTGCTGAATGCAGAAATAGTCAAGTATCCAAGCTGGAGTGGGTTTGAGAGTGAGGCAGAAAGGTTGCAAGAATACACACTGATTCTAGAGAGATACTGCAGACCAAAATCTATTCTAAGAGGCTACAGCTGACATTCCTTCAGGCTTTTCACACTTCTTTTTGATCTTGCCAGGGTTTCGACTTCCTGTCACACCTAGCTACTTCTTCAATAGTGGGATAGCGGCATCATTCTTTCCCCAAGGCCCAGGGTTATCACACAGTTAGTTCAAAGATCATCTGATACACATTGCCTTTTCTGTTGGGAAATGAGAGAAAAGCAAGCCTTGAGGAGGACACATCTTCACAAACATACAGATGGGCAGACACTGTACCAGAGGCAGGTTGGAAACTCATTAAAGCGTACCACCTTAGATTTATGATTTGATCTTTAACACCATGTTAGATTTATGGCTGCTGTTTTCCCATAGACATTGCAGCAAAGACTAGATTGTGGGTGAAAATATGTGTCTATTTGTGTAAATGCCCATACAGAATGTGGGCAGCCAAAAGTGTTGAAAATATTAACATTGGTACAGTCCACTATTTTCACTGCCCCCTAGAGTATGTATAATTTGAACTTGTGTCGTGTTCAGTGGGGCACACAGCAAAATGTTTTAAAACAAAAAACAAAAAGGAGAAGTCCAGACTGCTTTCTTGTGTTTGATACGTAATGAACACGACCCAAGATAGAAGTAAAGTGCCATGGACATCCTATGGTTGGATTTGTACCGCAGATGTCTCGCTCGGGAATCCAACGTCTTAACCATTATATCAACAATAAAATCCCTGTAGACCGAGGGTGACAACTGGGCTTACAGGTCACAGGACTGTGGTTCTAAATCAGCTCTGCTGCACTTACCCTCACTGTTCTCCAGGATATTGGGGGCGAACCCCCCCTCGTCGCCCACATTAGTAGCGTCCTGGCCGTACTTCTCCTGGATCACCCCCCTGAGCGTGTGGTACAGCTCGGAGCCCACCCGAAGCGCGTCCCTGAAAGACTCCGCCCCGACAGGAAGTACCATGAACTCCTGCATGGCTAGCTTGTTGCCCGCGTGGGAGCCTCCGTTGATCACGTTGAACGCCTGTGAAGGAGATGAGACAGGGGAATTAGCAGTTAGGCCAATACCCATGTTCAGCAGGTACCGGTACAGTGCTTCAATTTCCCATATATCTTTCACCCATATATATACCAATGTTTCATATACAGTATATATTATTTTTATCATACATACCATTTTGGTAAAGCCATTTACACAATGACTGTTTCAGTATTGAATTATTGTTATTATGCTACTGCTACACCTCCTTCTCTGATATGACCGTCATAGAAGTAGTGTGGCTTACTGGAACTGGGAGCACCAGCTCTGTGTTTCCCGCCAGGTCAGCAATGTGACGGTACAGGGGGACCTCTTTCTCTGCTGCACCAGCCTTGCAAATGGCCAGGGAGACTCCCAAGATAGCATTTGCACCAAACTGAGCTGTCGACGAGGAAGGAAATGTGAAAAATGTCAAAAGGGCTACCAAAATCTGGGTTCAGACAAAAGCCCATTCTCTCAGTTAATGCTGGACCTCAATTGATCGGGGGATACATATTGACACATTTTATCTGTTTCTTTGGTAGGAACCTGGAGACTCACACTTGTTCTCTGTGCCGTCCATTTCGATCATCGTGTTGTCCAGTTGCTCCTGCTCCACAACACTGATACCCTATGGGACACATCATATTTATACAACTAATTAATAAGCATATTAATATATTCATTATATTGGTAAGTTATCGAGGATCAATTCTCTAATTCAACAAATGGATGGATAACCCGCAACATATCTGCACACAATAAATATCTCATATTTGCAGCCTCCTTTGAACTATAAGCCTTACCCTCTAAATTATTACCTCTTGCACATATCATATATGTAACAGATTTGCTTGTATAGAATCAGAGTACAACATCATTGAGTTGTAAGATGTTCAGCTCATTTCTATATGTACATTCTATAAGTGCAGTACAATGGCAATGTGATTTTCGTACGTTGCAGCAATGCGTTTTTACTGGCTGACTGCGTCCTAAAATGATGTATTTCACTATCAGAAGAAAGGCTTCGGATTAGGACTGATGCGAGAAGAGAGCGAGAGAAGAGGAGGCCATTTTCTCTATCTCTCTCTCAGTCTCTCTCTCTCTCTCTCTTCTCTCTCTCTCTCTTCTCTCTCTCTCTCTCTCTCTCTCTCTCTCTCTCTCTCTCTCTCTCTCTCTCACTCTCTCACTCTCTCACTCTCTCACTCTCACTGGTTATCTGCAAATCAATATGCACTCACCGATGCTATGAGGGCAGGAGCCAGAGTGTCATTGATGTGGCCCACTGCCTTGAGTACACCTAGAGCAGAGAAAGAAGGCAGATAGGAGAGAAGATGGTGAAGGACAGACAAACATCATTCTGTTTACTCAAGCATTAGATATACATGCACACAAACAAACAAACAAACCTTTGCCCTTGTAGCGGCTCTTGTCTCCATCCCTCAGCTCTAGAGCCTCATAGATGCCTGTGGACGCTCCACTGGGCACTGCAGCCCTGAAAAGACCTGAGAGAGACAGAAAGAGGGAGAGAGGGTAGGAGGGGAGGGAGTTGTAAGAGATGGCAATAGAGAGAGTAACGTTAGAGGGGAATGATACAGAAATAGTACGAGAAAGAATAGGCCTTAGACGGTGATGCTCTTAAAAATGTATCATAGATTTTGGCTAATCTTTACGCTCTTTGTATGGTGCGATGCTAAGCTTTGTAGACAGGCATGAGAGGGGTCACCTTTCTCTGTGCACAGGTCCACCTCCACAGTGGGGTTTCCCCGGGAGTCTAGGATCTCCCTCGCAATTATGCTCACAATCGACATCCTGTGAAAGAGAGAGAGAGAAGGGGGTCGAGAAAGGGAGAGAGGTCATAAGTGCCTCTATTTTTACCATTGCATTTGCACATACAGGAAGGAAGTGCATAATGGGAGTGCAAATGAAGTGTGCAGAGAGTGACATTACGATTGCTATAAGCCATCATGATTTAAAGTTGGAATTGAATTGATTTTGATTTTTTACAATGCATCGTGTACCAGAAGGTTAGATGGAGCTATTACCATAGTAAAGGATCAGACTCAAATATATTCTAAGTCCATGATGCTAAAACATGGCTCACTCAGACACTATACCGCTATCAGGTGTGGAATCTGTGGATGATCGGTGACTCAAGCTAAATGACGACATCGTTCCTAGTCACCTGGCTCACGACTTCATGAGACACAGGGAATCCATCACTGCCATTGGTCAAGATTGGACTGTCAGCGCCCAGCCCCCCACGACAAGCATTATCCATAAATCCACAGGCTAAAAGGGCCGACTCTCACTGCATGTGTGGGTATGGATGTGGGTACGCAGACCCGTGAGCCTCTGCGGCTCCTCATGATGAGTGCCCATCCCTGCCCTATGGTGTACCATATGATGTCATTATAATTTTCCTTATTAATAGTACTATGCCTCTAATAGTCATTGTTGCTAATTGCTCATTTATTTTGATAAACAAAATAACAAGGATCCCTACAGAACTGCACAGCTATATAATCTCCTGTCTTCACAGAAAGACTGAAATGTTACAGCAACTGAAATGTCACTGAAATGACAACTGAAATATATAATAAGTCCTTGTACACTTACAGCTCTATTCTATGACAACCCCCTCATTCTGTCAGCCCCATACATTGCTGTCCATAAATGTATGAATGTCGCTGTAGGTTTTTCACTGAAATGTTTGTGATGCAGAAATATATTATACATTCCTTTCAGCCCCATACTTTTCAGTGACTATGAATTTACTTAACCTTATGTTCTTCATTTAAATGCTTGTAATTTAATGGTGCCACCATATGCAGAAATCCCTATCCACTTTCAGCCAATCAGCCCCATACATTATCGTGACTCATATATGAGTGCAGCTGTAAGTTATATAACCCCTCCCTCCCAGCAGTGTGCAGTATGAGGACACCCATGTCCACACAGCACATACTGAAGATTGCAGCGCTCAGCACAAATACCCAGAGAGAGCGTGATAGAGGGAGATGGAGGGAGGGAGGAGGGGAGAGGAGGAGAGGGGAGGGGAGGGGAGGGGAGGGAGGGAGGAGGGGAGGGGAGGGGTGGGACGATGGGGAGAAAAATAGATAAATAATTAAATCTCTCCTTTTGGCTGAAGAAGAAAGGAGATTCAGAGATAGAGGGATGGTTGGGTAAAAAGGAGAGCAGGGAGGGAGAGAGAGGGACGCAGAAGGCTTATTTTCGCAGGAGTGGCACCGATTGGACACAGGCCGACACAGACACAGTCTAACGCATGGCACACACACACAAACACACTTTTGCAGACACTATCCCTCTTCCTCTCTCTCACACATTCACTGTACATATACACACACACACACACACACACATTCTCGTACACATACTGATACAGACATTCAAGGCTCTCTCCCTCCCCTTCACCGTCTCTCAAACACACACACACAGACGTGTAGAGCTCTCCTTTCCTCTCCCTGCCTCACACACACACACACACACACACACTAGCTCAAACACAATCACATTTTCTGCATACATACACACACACACAGATCATGCACTGAGGCACCTTCAAAGAACCCAGATACTACGCAAATGCTCTAATACAAACTGACACACACGTACACACAGTACACACACACACTCACTCACAGTGAATCAATAAAACCCAGAGCCAGGCAGGACTGACACTAGTTAGCATACACAACCGTAATGCCTCACATACAGAACTAAGCAAGCAGCAGCATCATCATCACCGTGACCCAGTCCAACACAGCACATCTCTGCTACTGGGAGGCAATCAATACAAGATGCAGGAATAAAACAGGGGATGACGGAAGGCAGTCTGGAGAATGAAGAAAAGAGAGTGGAAGAGGGAGAGAAGAGAATGAGGATGTTCCATCGTTACCTGCCGTCTGTGTGTTCCGCCTAATAGGGAAAGCCAGAAAATACTGGAGAGATGGATGAGAGAGGGAGAGAAACAGAGGGAAGGGGGAGAAACAGAGAGAGAGAGGGAGAGCAGAGAGGAGGAAAACAGAGGGAGGGGGTCAAATGTGTGACAGAAGGGGGAGGGGATGACGGGATGACTCACAAGAAGACGCTGAGAAAAGAGGAGAGAGGGGGAAAGAGTGGGGGGGGTAATAGAGGAAAGAGGGGGGGAAGAGAGGGGGAGGGAGGAAAAAGACAGGGGGCGCATTGGAACGGCAAAAAGCGGGTAAAAAAAGAGAGGGGAGGAAAGAAAGGGGGAAAAGGGGCGGGGGAACCCCCCGCTCCCCCCCCGCCCCGCCCCGGAACCCCCCCCCGCCGGCCCCGCGCGCCACGAGGGGCCCCGGGGAGCGCGCGGGCCCCCGCGCGGAGCGCCGGGCCCGCGGGCGAGCGGGGCCCGCCGGCGCGGAACCCGCGCGGAGGCGCGGGACCCGGCGCACCCGGGGGGGCCCCGCCGGGGCCCTTTTCGGCCCCCCGGAGCGCGCGGCCGCGGCGAGGGGGGGGCCCCCGGCGCGCGGGCGGGGAAACCCGCGCACCGGGGCCCCCGGGGGGCCGCGGGGGGCCCGGGAGCGGCGGGCCCGGGGCAGGGCGGGCCCCCGGGCGGCGGGGGGCCCCCCCACCCGGGCCCCCGCGCGGGGCGGGCCCCGGGGCAGCGCCGGGCCCCCGGGGGGCAGGCGCCCGGGCCCGGGGGGGCGGCGGAGCGAAGCGCGCGGGCCCGCGGCGCGCGCGCGGGCGCCGCGCCCCGCAGGCGCGGGGGGCGGGGGGCCCGCGCAGCGCGGGGGCCCCCGGGCGCGGGCGCGGGCCGCGCCGCGGAAAGCGCGCGGGGGAAGCGGCGGCCCGCGGCGCGGCGGGGCCCGCGGGCGAGGGGGGGCGCGCCCGACCCGGCGCAGGCGCGGGCCGGGCCCGGGGCGCGGGCCCCCCGCGCGCGCGCGGGCCCGCGGGCGGGGGAGGCCGGGGCGGGGCGCCCCCCCCCCGCGGAGGCGGCGCGCGGCCGGCCGCGCGCGGGGCGGGGGAACCGGGCCCCCCCGGGGGGGCGAGGAGCACGCGCAGCGCGCGAACCCCCCCCCCCGCGCGCGCGCCGCGCGCGCGCACGCACGCGCGGCCGCGCAGCGCGGGGCCGCCGCCGCGCGCAGAGCGCCGGGCCCGCGGGCGGCGCGCAGCGCGCGCGCACGCGGGCCCGCGGCGCGGGCCGCGGCGCGCGCGAACCCCCGCGCGGCGCGCCGCGCGCGCGAACCCGGCGAGCAGCGCGGGGCCCGCACGCAGCGCGCGCAGCGCGCGGGCCGCGGCGGCGCGCAGCGCGCGCCGAGCGCGCGGGCCCGCGCGCGCGCGCGCGAACCCGCGCCGCGAGCCGGCCGGCGCGCGCGCGAACCCCGCGCAGCGGAGCGCGCGCGCGCGAGCGCGCGCGCGGTGCCGGCGCGCGCGCGCGAACCCGCGCGGCACCACGCGGCCCGCGCGCGAGCGCGCGGGCCCGCGCGCGGAGCGCGCGGGGCGCGCGGCAGAGACGCGCCGGTCGCAGCGCGCGGGCCCGACCGAACGTGGCCCGCGCGCGCAGAGCGCGCGCGCAGCGCGCTCCAGCGCGCGCAAACCGCGAGCCAGCGCGGGGGCGCGAGGCGCAGCGCGCCCGAGAAGCGGGGCGTCAGCGCGAGGGCCCGGGGATGCGGCAGCGCGCGCAGCGCAGCTGCGGAGCGAGCACAGACGCGGAGCGGCGGAGAGCCGGGACGATCAGCAGCGCTACCCGCGATCTAACCCTGCTCTCTCAACCCCTCTCTCATCTCTCTCTTTCCTTCTATCTCATCTCTCTTTCCCTTTCTCTCATGGTCCTCTGTAGCTCAGCTGGTAGAGCACGGTGCTTGTAACGCCAAGGTAGTGGGTTCGATCCCCGGGACCACCCATACACAAAAATGTATGCACGCATGACTGTAAGTCGCTTTGGATAAAAGCGTCTGCTAAATGGCATATTTATGTATATCTCTCTTTCCCTCTCTCCCTCTCTCTCTTCTCTCTTTCCCTCTTTCTTCTCTCATATCTCTCTTTCCCTCTCCCTCTCTCTCTCCCATCTGTCTCTTTCTTTCATGATGCTGTAAAGGCTGTGTAGTCAGTATATAAGGCACCGTCCATATACTGTACACAATTGCATCATCTATACTAAACACAGGCTCAGCAATGATGAACCTACAGTGTATACCACTTCTTATATATGACTAACTGTATAGGCACTAAGCACTGTGAATGGCAATGTTGCACTGTTACAGCATCAAAGTGGATTTGGAAACATTTAATGTATTCCCCATTCAAGCATATATTGAAATTACTACTATTATCTTGTTGTTTGAAAAATGTGTTTTTAAACGGTAAGAGAACGATTACACGTAAGAAATGCAAACACATTTCAAATGTATTTTGCTTTAAAATGTGCTTATATGCAAAACCATCCATGAAAAGTAATGTCCTTAAAAATTGCAATTTCTTGATTACTGGAGGAGTTTAATGTTTTAGGACTGCTTGATGGTGGAGCTGAGGGTGAAACAGTGTGTGTGTGTGTGTGTGTGTGTGCGCGCGTGCATGTTTAAAGGGAGTATGCCTAGACAGAGGAGAGTGAGAGATCTATAATTAAATAGCCAAGTAAAAATGGGATTATCTTTGGAATACAACAACAACGTCCTTGACACCCATCTCACTCAGATAGAGAGAGAGAGAGAGAAGGGCAAAGAGCAGACACAGTGAGAGAGAGCTGTACAGGGAAAGTGCCTCTATCCAACTACTATTTTAATCATGGTTGATTGACAACATGTCCTCCGCCCTCTGGTCACACGTCTGGTTCTCCAACCTCTGTTTCAGTCCACACAGCTGCTCCTGTCCCATCCTCCTTCCTCTCATTACCTCTCTTCCTTTTAGAATGTGTGTGTGGGGTGTGTGAATGTGGGGGTGGGAGGCAGGGTAGCTCTGTGTGTGTGTGTGTGTCTGTGTGCGTCTGTGTTATTTGTGAGGAGAGAGGGAGCCAGAGAGTTGCAGATGTCAGGGGAGGCACAGGGGTGTATGGGAGGCCAGTGGACGGAGAGCCAGTGTGACAGCAAAGGGAGTCTGCATGGACTCCTCTCCTAGGGCAGTGTGTGTGTGTGTGTGTGTGTGTGTGTGTGTGTGTGTGTGAGAGAGAGAGAGAGAGAGAAGCCATTATTTGAAATAATGCATTGGTGTTAACGCTCTAGCTTCTAATTATCCTCCATAGTTTCCAG